CGGTGCTGTCTGGAGAACTTCCTGGTTTGTTTTGTTTTCCTGCGTTGAATATGGCTGCAGAAGGAGATTTTCTGGCGAGATATCGAGCCGTGTCCAATAAACTTAAAAAGTACGTAAGGCTTGGAGTACCGTTTTGATATTAAATTTCAAACAGTGGCCGGAAGTGCAAATACGATTTGAGTAATGAGCTTAGCCGGAATGCTAAATTGCGCGAGAGCTAGCGATAACAATCAAAGCTATCGCTTACTCTCTTCTTGTGTCAATCTTTGTCGTTGTTACAAACGTTTATATATTCTGTATGAGTGTGTATACTATTCACCATTAGAGGCAGATTATATGTTAGGAGTGTTTTTTCCTCTTTTTATTCCAAACCAAATATAAATGACGAACACCTTGACCATTTAACAAATGTTAGCAGATAGCTTTCGACAATCCTTAAAATGAAAAGCTCGCGATAATTTCTCAATTCGTCGCCTTAACAGCTGGGCTGACTTTTTGACAAGCTTGCAGCGATATTTCAGGAATAATACGTTTTGTTTTTCCCTTATAGACGCTTTCTCCGGAAGCCCAATGTGGCAGAGGCGAGTGAGCAGTTTGGTGAGTGGCTGTCATGAAAACCCAGCTTGCACAAACCATATAAACATACTTTTGTAGAAACTAAGCAAATTGAAAAGAAAAGTGTAGATGTGATAAGCTTAAAAACCACGATTAGTCAAGACCACAGTTCATGGCTGATTTGTGTATTTATTTGTTTTCAGTTTGGATGAAAACAAACGAGTGTTCATGCTGTTCATACTAATACTTAATACTCCAGCCATGAAACTATGTTGTGTCCCTCATACTGAAAAATGCCAAAAGTACAGCATGTATAACATTTTTCTTTTCCCATGTTTTTCACCTTATCTACGAAGAATAGACGCAACCGGGTTCGTTTTAATGTTCTTATTAATTTGGCATTCGTTTTACTGTGTTTGCAGGTCAGTTGGCAAAGGAGCTGAAGCAGCAGGACTGCCTTCAGTATGCTGCCTTCTGTAACCTGGCCATGGCTCGGTGAGTAGACACAAATTGGATCATTTTGTGTCATACTATAAACCAGCATTTCTTCATGGCACACATGATGTCAAAGTTCTGAATTGATTTAGGTTTTAATAAATATAGCATGTGTTGTTATCCTTTATTCTTGAGATTTAACAGAAGTTAGATAGAAGAAGATAGAAGTAAGATAACATGTAGAAGCAGCAGTTTGTCAGTCTAATGATGCTGTCAGATGATCAAAGTTGGTGTGGATGTGTTACACAGCTTGTTTATAACGCACATCCTGGAAAAAACGGCAAGTTTAGCAGGTTCAGGGGCCTCATTCGTCCATGTGCGGCCACACAGTCGCGTGGCACCCAAACAGCCATGTTGTGTTTTTCTCTGGCATATGCTCAAGGTGGGCGTACACGCCACTGGATCCTGAGCGAGCCGCCTGGCACATGAGCTGACGGATGAGCCAACTAAGTCATATGTCTTGACTGCCCGCTGTGCTTGCTATCGTCTGGCAGTGTAGTAAATGCTTTGGTTCCTGTTGCAATTGATGCACCTCTCCAGGAACTGCTCATCACAGCCTCCACTGTAGCACCATAAACTGCCTAGCAATACGTTGCCTGGTCTGCTTCTCTCCAAGTTGTCAATGATTCGGTAACTTTGTCTGCTGTGTAGGCTCTGCAGCACATGTTATGCGTATTGCACACCGTGCAATTGACCAACAACTCCTGGAGGACTTGTTCCTAGTTTAATGCTTTATGAGAAAGTTTTGACAAAACAGTGGAGAAACAAGTTATCCAATCAGAAGATATTGCTACGAGTCTGGAGTCTGTTTTAGTATATTTGAAATATTGTCTTTGGTTTATAAAGGCCTTCATGCTTTTATCATGATCTCATATATGACGTTTAATTTCAATTGGAGTCTATTTTGAAAGAATTATATTAGATGAATAATTTTTTTTCTTATAGTTTTTTCCCTTAAAGGTCCCAACATGATTGAGACTTATAAAATAGAAATGTTGCTTTATTAAGTAGCCGATTGACTGTAACCAAAGGAAAAACATTTTTTTTCTGTAGAAATTGTTTAACTATTTGTTTTGAATGTAAAGCATTAAATTCCAAGACACTCTGAATGTGAGAGCAGAGTCTGAAGAGAGCTCTTTCAAAGATGAACTATCGCCATGGGATCATCCTTATCGGCCCCGGGCTCTGGCTTTGCGTCTAGCATTTATAGGAATGTTCTTGGCTGCAGGTGTGAGCAGACTCTCTTCAACGCTCCCGGAGAAGCCCTGGCTCTAACCGACGCTGCTCGCCTCTTTCTCACGTCCGAGAAGGAGAACAGAGCCCTGCAGGCGCCGGGCTTCGACGAGCACCTGCAGGCCGCGCTCAACTGCTACAGCTTCGCCATCAAGGTACGCGACGGTCCCAGGCACATTCAGGGCGGAATGCCTGAGCCCAGAAGGTCTGCGGAATAGATCTGTGACTGCATTCCTGCTGTGTGACCGAACGCTGACGTGGAAATGAATTACAGGTGTACATTGAGATGAACCAGCCCGTGATGGCAGCCAGCCTGTGTTTGGAACTTGGCAACGCACTCAAGGTTGGACGATAGCTTCATGCTGTCTCATAAGATTAAGGAGGCCGATTTATTTATTTATTTTCCGGGTGCTCGTGCTCATATGTAATCCAAATGGAGTATTAATCAGAGCTCTCTACTTTCAACAGGAGATGAACAGACCGGGAGAAGCCATCGTCCACTTCCAGAGGGCCGCAGAGCTGCAGACACAGACGTCAACAGAGGCCTTACTGTCCATGGGGGAAATGGCCACCTGTAAAATTCTCACTCGTGCGTATAAGCAGCCCATTCAGCAGGTATTTGCATGTTTTACTTATTTGTTTGGTTCTTTTTTTAAACCTGTGTTGTCCTCAACCGCAGGCGACTACGACGGTGCTCTGTCGGTGTTCACAGAGATGCAACTGATGTGTCAGGAGAGAAGCCTGCACCTCCCAGGCACCACCACCCCCGTCGGTGAGGCTCTTTTTTCCTCTGCAAGGGCAAAAAAGTTGCACTCAGTCCTCAGGCACGGGCATTTACAAACGCAGGCTGGATGTCAAGCCGGCCTTTGTTTGTCGCCAATTACATCGGCCTGCTTCACCTGATCTTTCACCTCGGACATTCATTCACCTTCCTGTGTTCTTTGTTTGCTTTGTTTTTCAGAAAACTAATTTGTCTTATTTGCCCTAAAGGTGCATTTATGGACATTGTGGCAAAATGCGAGATATCCAGAGTACTCCTGCTGATGTTGCTGGAGGTGAGTGAGTCGAAAGTTCTTATGTATGGCGTCCATAAAGACGAAAAGGGAGTTGAGTAGAAAACCATTTAATGTCATGTATAAAACAAAACTGTAATTTCCTGTTACTAATTGTAAACATGTATTAATTTTTTTTTTGAGTTGTTTCTAAACTAAACAGAATTTGTGTCATTACTGTTGGTTTATGTTCTCTTTGGCTGAATATATCAGGTTCTTGAAAAAAGGCCCATTAAGAGTCATTGGTCTCAGAGGCCGTCACTCTGCTCTCACATTTCGATTTTTGAATCCTGGCAATACCACCAGTCATCTAACTTAAAGAACATTATTTTTCTCTCATGGTGATGAGTCGGTTTTCTTCTCTGTACATATACAGTTACGAGAAGGACTAACTGTTCCTGTAACGGTTTTGAAAAACAACCATGGTACAATGCGTGCCACGTGTGGGGATTATTGGTGCAGCCAGTCTTTAAAGGTCCTCTTTTGCCCTCTCTCTGCAGCCCCCGCCTCAGAAGTTGCTACCTGAGCACGCCCAGACGCTGGAGAGATACGCATGGGAGTCCTTTGACCCTCACAGTCAAGGTGCACGCTCCTAAATATTCAACGTTCTCTTGAAGGACTCAGGGGAAGGACTTACTTTAGTTTGGCTCACTGAGAGAACAGAACCTGTCTCATGAATCAACTGAGCAAGGCTTCCTTGCGTAGTTGTAAAAATGAATGTTTTCCTCCCCGTTTAGTGACCTTCCTGCCCGAGAACGTGTTCCTGCTCCTGCAGTCCGTGGTGGTGAGTTCCTCTATGTGAAGAAAAATGCACTAAAATAATAAGACCGTGTCCTCACCTTCCTGTAACAGTTGGAACACTTTCACTTTCCCTGCCATGACTCAGAGGTTTAAAGTTTGTGGGCTCGTCCGTGTTTGTTTTAGCGTCTCACGGTTAATAAATGACCTGAGTTTGACATGCCTGTGTACACCCGACTGGAGAGAACAGGGCGCTCGGGAAGATTGCGACCCCGACGAGCTCGTCTGAGTCTGCAGCCGTGTTTTTGTCAGCGCTGTGCGTAACAGATGTGTTTTGCAGATGGCCTGTCAGGAGAAAGACACCGAGTCCCTCAAGTCTCTCCAAACTGAGCTGTGGTGAGCGCACGCCATTTCCATCGCGGATTGCATTCTTATCGGCGTATTAATTTTCCATACCGATCACATGTTTGAAAAAAAAAAAAAAAAAAAAATGTTCTTTTCCTTTTTCCTTCCACGCAGGCCATTCCTGACAGCTGAGCAGAATCATCTCCTCCACCTGGTGGTTCAAGAGCGAATAACACCGTCTGGTCAAGGCATTTAGCACAGTCCATTTCTTACTCACTTCCTCTGGGAACAATAATTTATATCATGGAACATTCTTGCTTCTGACTGGGTCTGTTGTAGGGCCCGAAGAAGGGTTGCTTTCAAGACTTTAGGCGTCGTAACTTGCACTCAGAGAGCACTGTACCCAAAACTATGCCCTTACTCAGTCAGCTCCAAAATCAAGCTGCATTTTCTTGACGTTATGTACGTTACAGCCTAATCTGAGCCCCCCGGGCCCCCCCCCCAGGCCAAGTCTATAAAACTGGATCACGTTGCGTATTTATTGTGTAAATGTCTTGCTGAATAAAGATACGTGAACCCTCTGAGGTTTTTTTTATGTGTTTTATTAGTAAATGACATGGCTTCAATTCCAATATAATTACAAACAAACATCAGAATGCATATTTCTGTTAAATGTGGGAATATAACGCCGCGATTGTCCTCCGTCCCTGGTTCACTTAATGTTCACTTGTACAAAAGTACTTTTTCTCATGATAGCAGCCGACTACAGACACAAAATCAAATAAGGATACAAAAAAAAAAAACAGAATACAAAAATTAATATGGTTACATTGTACATAGACTGAGAAGGGATACACTATGCTTTAGTTGTTAAAATAATGATAAATGAATAAAATCAATTGTAATTTTATGCAATTTTGAGCTACAGGATTGTTCCATGTACTGGATCCACTGCAGTACAAACTGTCAGCTAAAAGATGAGAAGCCCTTGATTCTGAGCCAAAGTCTTCTAGAAGGGCTTTCTCTGATGGCTTTTAACACTCTTGCATCATCATTTTGGGAACGCGTTTGGCCACTTTTTATTAACGCCAGCCCATGATAGGACTGACATCGCCCAGTCTGGCTTTTCAAAACGGCGTCCATCTTTTAATCTCTGAGACAAATGCAAGAAAACATGTTTCTGTAAATGCGGAAACTACTCCACTAAAATACTGGCATGTTTGGATTCAAGTCTCCAAAAGCTAAATTTAACTAGAGGACAAAAGAAAAGGGAAAAAAAAAAAAGTTAAGGCAACTCAGCTGAATGTGAGGGGAGGCGCATTTTTTCATCGTGACAATTTAGCTCCTACGCAGTCCCGCTCTTCAAAACTAAAAACCTGTTCAATTCAAAACATTACAAATGGCTCCTGTTAGCATTCGAACAAATTCACACGTTCCGAGCTGCAGATGTCGAGCAGCTCGTCCTCGAGATGTCTGAAATCCACCTCGCCCTCTCTCGCCCGGTCCCCGCTTACGGAAGAACGTGGCGCCGCCCTCTCGCTCACTCGCTCTTCTTCCGCAGGACGAGGTAGACGACGGTTAGGAGGGCGGACAGGACGAAAGAGATCCACGCCAGGATGTAGCAGTGCCCGTACCCTCCCGTTGCCTCACCGGTGTGGAGCTCAGCTGTGTAGATGGAGGCTGCTATCATTATGCACAGGCCTGCGGGTGACGGACAAGACAATTAAAAAGTCAATAGCTTCTCCTCTTAGGATAAAAGGCTCATGGACCAATGCAAATATTCCTACTGCTGTTGTGACTCGGAATGAGAAACATGGTGGTTGTAAAATGATGGCGTTCTGGTCATCCGTTCTGATCACTGCCCACTTCAGAGCCACATTTCTCGCCTCACGATTAAAAAAATATCCAGCCTCCTTGGTCTTTATCTCAGTTTAAGTTTAGCTCGCGCTGCATATACTGCGCCCCGAGGATGAGGGAAGCTGAACTCATTTTTTCTCATCCTATTTGCTTTGCTATTAGAAGCTAATCACCATCGGCGCGTACGGCTTCCATTTAACTCATTGGCTGCCAAAGACGTCTATAGACGTCTTTTATGTTTTTCAACGAGAGTGGCTTGGGGGACGATCTGCTAAAGCTTGACCGTAAATATCAGGCTTCTAGAGAGTATGTACTAACAAATTGACCCTCTAGGTGGCAGTGCCACTTTTGATGGGAGATGAGCATAGACTGTAGGCAAATAAGAAAAACGTAACGGTTCGCTATGAGAGAACATGTCGCCGGTGAGACGCAAGTCGAGGAAGAACGGAATAAGGTAGAAACACATTTTTTTTCCTAATGAAAGAAGAGAGTCTACTCTTTCTTTTGGTGTGTTCGGTGTTTACATAGTCATAGAACAAACTATTCTGTGGCTCTTGAAAAATCTGTCAAAATGCTAAAAAAACTCTGGCAGTCAATGAGTTAAGGAAGGAGACGCTTCAGCGAATGATGCTGAGAGGTTTGGGATTCCGCTTTTTTCCCTGAATTCGCCACCAGTGTGCGGCACGAAAACTTCAGCCAACCGGGAGGGCGCTTCAGTCTATCTGCTTATCTGTGCAGATAGACTTAAAAATCGGCCGTGTGAGCGAGCGTCAACTTTTATTTTTTATCGTATGTGTGGCCCTGTGACGGACCGCCTCTCACCCAATCGGCAGCTGGGATGCGCTCCAGCCTCTCCAGCCAAACACGAATTAGCTGGAGCCGGTAGAATAAAAAAAATATCGGATGGGTGGTGCTTTAATAACCCCGGCCAACTCCCCACATGACTCATGACAGCCCATGACAAGATTGTGCCTCTGATAATGATCAGCCCCAGCTGTCCACGACTGAGTTTCAGAAAAGAGAAATTTGGTTAAAAGAAATCTGTTGATCCGGGAGTTTCCTTTCAGTCCGGTCGATCTGTTTGTTGTGTGTGCCTCTGGGAGTTTTCGAGCAAATTTGCTCTCCCTAAGGGGCAATGGCATGCTTGAAGATTTTTTTCCAAACTCTTTTTTTGTCTTTAATTAATTTAAGCTTGAGGCTGTGGGACAGATCTTTAAATACATCCTCCAGACGAAAGGAGCAAGGATGAGATGCTCACTTGAAACCAGTTAGCGGCGAAATTGCGGTTAAAAAGGCAATCATGGAGTATATTTTGCATCATTTGAGTCATGTGGAGAGACAATTTTGACCAAATCTTGTCATCTTGTGAAGGTGAATCCCCCATTTAACCGACTGTGAAGCATTTCTGTGCATAAGTGACTTTAAATGCAGAATTCTCCACATACTTTGAAATACTAATTTGGCTAACGTCGAGTGTTTTGTCTCTTCTTGCCTTTATCTCCAGTATCCCAGCTCCTTGTATGTGCACAAATCCTCTCATGCAAACATGAAAAACTCTTTCTGTGTTTTAGTCCATCGCGCCATTACAAAATCTGTGATTCCTCTGTGCTTTCAGAGTCAAATAATCATTAATAAATTCAAGTAAATCGAAATAATAAGTCATAAAATCAACGCACACCACATTTATTTGTGATGTCCATGTTTTGCAGATAAAATGTCGAATGTTTGCTGATATATTTGTGCATCCCTGAAGATTAACGCAAAAAAAAGAAAAGAAAACACTAGCAGCAATAAACTGATATCTGACTTCAGCTATGAGAAAACGTAGCTGTCATCGCTAACCGAAGAGGGAAAAGCGACAGAAACATCAATGGAAAGGGGAGTTACTTGATGATGATTGAAATGAAAACCTGTTCCAAAACCTAAAACAAAAAAAAGACCGAACTTGCTTGCGCCTGTTTGTTTTCACCCTAATATGCAAACAACGCTGTTTGGAATGCAAACATGCCCACGGCGCCCACGGGTATCGCACACAGTTTGCACCAAAAAAGTAAGAAAAGGACTAACATTTTCTTTCTTTTCTTTTTTTGTTTTTGTTTCTTTTGGAAGCCTCCGAAGTTTTGTGCTGAGAACGAGCACAGTGAATGATTCAGCTGCATAGAAATAGGAGTCTTAGACAGTTCCGCCCTTTTACATCCACACTGGACTTGCAGAGACAGTGTAGGAGTTTGTCTTTTTTGGGGGGGGATAATTCAGTATAAAGGGAAGGGAAAAAAGTGAGTAAAAACAAGTTGGTCAAGCATTGAGAAATCATTTGTTTGTGATTATACACAGATCAGAGGAGGGAGACACTGGACACTGTGGAGTCCAAACCAAGTTTCCCCAAGTTTCGTGGCGTCTGACTCGGGGTTTTACTTACAGGAGAACAGCTGTAGGATGCCGGTGAAGGTGAAGCGCTGGTTTTTGGGCAGGGTGAAGAGCTGGGCCAGAAACACGAACAGGGCCAGGATGGCAAAGACGCAGGCCAGCACCGAGGTGGCCTGCACCGACTGGAGGAACTCTGCGAGAGGCAGGGCGACAGATACCAGAGAAAAAAAACAAAACTTTTACCAGCTATTACTCCCCGCCGGACCGTCAACAGCGTCTGGGTTCCAAGGTCTGCGCGGATACGGCCTTCGGAAAAGGTACTTTTTGTCTTTTTGAGTCTTTTGTGCTTACCTCCCGAGGAGTCCTTCGGGTTAATGTAGTGCCAGTCTGAATTGGTCAGCTCCCACCGGCCCCACAGGTCAGTCGACGTGGTGTCGGTGATCCACCAGGCCTGAGGAGGATTTTTTATATCAGCGTATTTATGACTCAGCGTCCATAAATGTGTGTAAATGTCCGCAGCACCGTCACAGCAAAACAAAAACAAAAAACAACATGCGGGTGGCAGTTGGCTGCAGTGAGTCTTTCCTCATGCTTTAAATGCTTGGCAGAGCTATTTGATTCCAGTGAAACTGCAGTTACTTTCAGTTGATGTGAGCCAGCCCATGCAAAAATTCTGAGTGCCCAGGTGGGACCAGAAGCACCATAAAAGTTTCTTACATTATCGATGGTGGCCACCAGAAGCAGGATGATGTCCGTGATGTGCAGAGCGACGATTCCCACCAGCATCAACATTGTGGCCCCCTGAAAAAAAAAACTGACAAGAATGCGGAAGGTGTGCGCATCATTATTTTATTTCCAAGCACCAGATTAGGTAACATGGGCGTTCACAGGGACAGACATATCAATGAACTTGAGATTAAACCATTGTCTCTCGAAGTCTTTTTTTTGTTTCCTTTTACAGCGGCCGGTGGGAGAGAAAGAGACAAAGAGAAGAGCCCTGGGTTGCAAGTCCGAACTCGCCCCTCGGGTCTCCAAGTCGGATTTCTTTTGAAAAACGCACATCTGGAGTCAGACACGTCACTGCTCAGAACTGTCGAGGGTTTTACGCCCGACATTCGCTTTGCCTCGTATTCTGCTGAACCTGGGGGGGGGTTGTGGGGGACGGGGGGGTGGGGGGGGCTCGGATGTATTCCCATTCCCCCGCAAAAACCGCATCCGTTCGCTTTATCTGCTCGTTTCCAACCGCTTTCTCCTGTTTGGTGCGCGCCAGAAAGGCGCGTTTGTGTGGGCATTCCCCTGTGGATGCCCCTTCAGGCCCTGCACAAGTCAACAACTTTGAAAAGAGCGCGAGAACACGGCGGCAGAAAACACCAGGGGAAAAGCTTTTTGACTTCATAAATGTCCACTGTGCAAATCTAGAACTTTTCCGCGGTGGAGGAGTTGAGACAAAAACTTTTCGGCGGCGCGTTTATGCGTTTTTGCGCTCACAATTCTTGGCACGTTAGACTATAGTTACACAGTCAATAACTCTGCTATACTAAAAAAAAAACATTTCATTTCCATTTACAGATGTAAAAACAGGCCTGTGATGGTTCTACAGGCTATCACATGAATAACAAGGGGTTAAGAAACGTAAAGAAGACGAACAAACGTTACCTGGAAGAGCTTTTCACACACGGCGCTTTAGATATTTGGGAATGTGTAACTGCGTGGACCCACCCAGCCTCTAATTCGCTCCACACACATCTCCCTGTTTTCTCACTCCCTTCCTTCTATTTCCTCTCAGCATTAAGCCCCACCCAAAAAAGTTTCAAATGTTTTTTTTTCCCCCTCTCTCAAGAGGAAACGGACTCGTGTTGCCTTTTCCAAATGTGCGTAAAAGAGGGCTTCCTGAGAGGGAGACTTTTAACTTCAGATCCTCAACTGCCTTTTGTTGCTACCTGAGTGGTGGATTTAACCCCCCCCCCTGTACTTGGTTGCAGAAATAGAGCCACAGACATACTGGAACGCTGTATCTTTCATTTTCCAGCCCTTTTGCCGCCTCATTATGCACATGTGGGAGCTTCTCCAAAGATGTGACATTAGGAAGTGATGTTGGCAGTAGTCTTCTGCAAACTGGGCCCCAGGGATCTTGCCCACTATTCACTAGGAGCTACGCTCTGATGGTGACATTTCATACGTGGACGGGGGGGAAAAAATGGAGAGAGATTTTTGGCTTCCGTAAGCGCAGTTTGATTACAAGCGATTACAAATAAACGAAAATCCAAATAGAAGGTTTGAACAGCTGGTTGGTTGTGGACGCCATTATTCTCGCACAGTAAATCACAATGGGCCGCCCGGAAATATGAGGGGCTTTTTATGTGGTACTCACTCCTCAACGCAATATCACATTTCGGCAACACAACCTGGGTTGTTGCCCCTCCGAGACATTTAAGAACGGCTTTCAAAAGCAGAGGAGAGAGATATTTATAACACACCGACAGTACCACACAGCCTCTGCCTACCAGGGGGCTGGCATCCTCACTGTTTTGGACAACTCTGTTCATCCCATAAATGAGCCAGCTTTTTAACTTCTTCAAACTCCAGGGGCCGTTTGGAATACACCCCCCCCACACACACACACACAACCCTCCCTCTCCATTTACTATTCCAAACAAAGGATTTAAACACAGAGCAAATATAAAGTGGGCTGGTTCTGGGATTTAAAACCACGCTGAGGTACTGCTGCTGTATGCACAATAATATTTCTCTACATTTCACATATAGCTGAATGATGTGGCAATGAGAATGAATAAGGAAGAAACTGGGGAAAAAAATACTCAAGTATGTTCATACAACTTATTGAAAAAGAAAGTGGCATGTAATTAAATCAGTTACATGTGTCAAGCCTAATTAAACTCATCGGCAGCAGGTCTGTCTCGTCTTCTTATATCCCTTTCAAGCAGTTTTTTAAGCTTCCTCCTCTGGAACTTTCACATGTATGTTAACAAAATGCCAAGGAGGGAAGCATTTGTTGGTGCCCCTCCACCCGGAATGGCTCACAAAGTCACTTCTAAACCATTTGGAGTCGATCATTCAACAGCAAAAGAGAATTGTCACAAGAGGAAAAACATTCAAGACAGCTGCTGTCCTCCCCTGGAGGGAAGGTTCCAACAAACGAACAACCAGGTCACACTATACAACCTTAAAAGAAACTACAAAAAACCCAAGGGGTACATCTCAGACTCCGCAGGCCACATGGCTTGTTGAATGTTCATGTTTAGAAGAGTAAAACTTGGCAAAGACTGAAAATGTATGGTATTCTCATGGATACCAAATCTTTTTGTTTGCAAATATACATCTGAACACATAGGACTTCTGGAATATTGTCCTTTGACCAAAAAAGCTACATTCAGAGTGGATGGCACTATGATGGTGACAACCAAACACAGTCTATCTGCTCAAACAATGTGGTTCTACCTTGCTCTAGTCTTTACTCAAAGCGCTTGTCCAGTTACTATCCTAAACGCCTTAGATTTTTATGGGCTACACAGTCCTTCATACACTGTTGAGTGCACCGGTGCTCATAAGGCAGTGTGGCGTTCAGGGTCTTGCCCAAGGATGTTTTGACATGTGACCCAGAGTTAAAGCCACCTCAGGGCTTAGTTAACATGTTAAAGTCCAACTGATAGATAGCATCTGATCTCTTGTTTTGCATTGGTGTAAATGGTCAGTTGGTCGTTATCGATCAGCTGCTGATAGACGGCGTGAGCCAGCGAGTGTGGACGGGGAATAAGTTATTGATCTGCTCTGCTCAGTCCTCAGCTGAATAGGAAGCCAGATGCGATTTTGCCCAACACTAACAACATCTAACATGGTTATATATTAATCCCAAACACACCATCAAATCTACAGCAGAGTTCGAATAAGAAGACGTACCAAGTTTTAATTGGCGAGTCTAGGCCACAACCCAGCTGAAAGAACGAACTGAGACCTTCAGAGAACTGTGCATAAGTGAGTTCCCACAAACTATAAACATAATGAAGCAACACCAGAAAGGAACTTCCAAAATTATGTCAGGGGCAAGCAACATCTTACTGCATTAATCGTTTAAGGTTATTGCTGTTGACATTGGTTCTATAAACTACTTAATGTGTTATTGGTTTCTTCTATACGCAGCTTCTGCACATATACAGTTAGATATAAGCATCTGGCAGTTTCACACCCAGAAATTGTTAGTTAATGTTAAGACCTGGTAAAAATCTAGTTATTCTTTCATAAAAATAAATAAATGATGTGCCTTTTTCATATAGATTTACACACAGACTATTTATCTGTAGTAGTTATTGTTGTTTTTTAAATCTTATAACGATTTCTTTCACTGTTTTTTCATAAAGTGAAGGACCATATGCCCTAGTCTGAGATTCCATGGTCAATCCAATCCCAGTATTATGTCCTTTATGAAGTCATTGGCTGGCATTTAGCTGTCTTCCTCCCTAGAGCAAATGGGATATCAATAAATAGAAAATAGGAACTATAGGTGGGGGCGGTGGTGTGGTGGCCTCCCAGCAAGAGGGTTCTGGGTTCGAATCCCGGGGGAACCAGGACCTTTCTGGGTGGAGTTTGCATGTTCTCCCTGTGTCTGCGTGGGTTCTCTCCGGGTTCTCCGGCTTCCTCCCACAGTCCAAAAACCTGCATGTTAGGTTGATTGGAGATTGGGGAAATTGCCCTTAGGAGTGAATGTGAATGTGAGTGTGAGTGGTTGTTTGTCCTTGTATGTCCTGTGTGTGGCCCTGCGATGGACTGGCGGACTGTCCAGGTTGTACCCTGCCTCTCGCCCGTTGACCACTGGGATAGGCTCCAGTTCTCCCCGCGACCCCATCAGGGAATAAGCGGTATTGATAATGGATGGATGGATGGAACTATAGGTCCGGATTGATGGTGTATTTAGTTTAAGAAGCTTCCTAACTGAGTGAAATGACCCAAGTACCAGGCAAGAAAAAGTGAGAACTGTTTGAATTCTTCAAATGCTGAGGAAAGGAGCTCCAATAATTCTGTAGTTTGTCAACATGGAACACAGCTCTCAGTCCTTTGAAAGATGGACAATGATGAGTGCGAATTGACTCTGATAACAAGAGCCCTCAATTAATTTCTTTTTCTTTTTCAAATAAAACCTTGACCTAAAAAGGAATACTCAATGTCATTTCCAAGATGATTTATGTTTATGTAACATTTTGATAAGACTGTGATGGTTGAATTAAATTAATTCTTTTATTTCAAATAATTTTTGAACATCTGTCATTTGAGTGATGCAGGCACACATGGCAGCCTCGTGTAAATATGGTCATTGCAGCATAGCTGTCCTTCCAAAGATCGTTGCCAACCATCTTCCTTTAATCCAATTACATTTTCCGCATGGACAAAAAAAGAGCAGAGGAAAAGTTTATATGAGTTGATTTTTTTCTATGTAATCAGACCATCTACATCCTTTACTCTTTCAGAGACACAGTCCATCATTTATTGTTAGTTCAAAGCAGAGTACATATGTAGTGAGTATGTAGTATCAAACTCAGAAGATATTTACTTTCCAAAAAAAACCCATGTATCTTTTCTTTTCTTTTCTTTTTTTTGGTTTGCATTTTTGCTTTCTCCAAGGTATAAGGGAATAATAATAACCAGACTCTGTGATGGCACAGTTAGGACTTATCGTTGTATTATCTTTATATTTAAAACTTGTATATATTTCCCCATATGAAGACACTGGGTCTACCTTTCTGAAGGACACAATAAAGACATGATCAGTTAGAAACGTGTTAAATTATTTTATTTCAGATTACAGTGTCTACAATGAGGCCAGTAGGTCAAAGTTAAAAAAAATTAAGTGTCATGATGCATAGAGACAAAAATGAAATGACGCATGGTCTCAGCATGTTGGAATACTGTATCTCACATAAAAGTCAAGTAATATGTGACCTCTATTGATCATGAGACATGCATCCATCAGGATAAAAGGGGAGTTATGTAATGAGTGGATTTTAGTCATTATGAAATATCTCGTCTGAATTTGCCCAAGTAGTTTTGATTTCTAATCCTAACCATGTAATGCTATTATCTACAAGCTGTTACCTAAAGCCAGTCGCAAAGTGACAATATGTCATTGTAACAACTTGTGTTTTCATGTAAGATAAGTAGCCAACAAATAGCATCCACAAGGATGACTTCTGCATTGTAAGACGAATGTATTTAGCCTTTCAATACTGTTTCCTTCCTCAGAACAAGTATTGGTATTCCCTAAACAAACCAATATAATGTTACATTTGGTAGGGGGAACAAGATTAGTATACATTGATCTTTGACTCATGTTCCATAAATTCACATAGGCCATCAATATTTGATTCTTTTGACCTGGTCTCCCTCTGCCTCTGAGTTATTATTCGGGCAGGGCATTATATCTAAGAGGTACCTTGATTTAATTATGTCCTCAGTCAGTCCAAAAACCTCACTTCTGACATTGTCCCCACACCAAATGTAGTGGCATTGGGTAATGATGAGTATAAACATTCTCTCGTAGCTTTGTTCGTGGACACTGAGGATACAGCCCCTTGTCTTTAACATCGAACAGCCTATTTAGTTTACACCCTGAATGTGGCTGACATCCATATCTCTGTTTGTGTTTGCAAATACAGGACATGTGAGCAAAAATTCTAAAATGGTTCTTCCAGGACTGAAACTGAACTTTACTTCCCAAAGATTTAAGATTCGATATCGGTATCAGTTTTTTAGCTTTATACCATTTGAGCCCAGCACCAGTTGAACATCATCTCTCACTGGATTGTAAATACCCACTTTGATCCCTGTCTTAGAGATCGAGCTGAGTATATTTGTGGACCGAAATTACTCAAGTTATACGTCAGTACTGTATTCAACACGGATGACAGTAAGATTATTGTCTTTTAGTTAGGAATGGTAAAAGTGGCCATTGTCATACCCTATTGTTACTGATATCGTTTCAGTTTGATATTTTGTGCACAATTCCATTAATCGATTGGGCAAAATGAAAAAATGATTGCTAGACTGGGGGGAAAAAAGAAACATTATTAATCATTGATGAAAAGTCTGTGGTGTGCCATGTGGATCACCAAACACAAATGCTTCCAATGGTGTGAAGACATTTCCGACAAACCCTGTGTGATACTCAGCACTGCTGACTGGGTGTTGATAGAGCAATTAGTGTAAGTCTCTGTTTTTATTGAAGTGGCGCTGAGATGGAAATCATTCGAGAGCTGTGTTATTGTCAGAGGGTGTGGGAACTGGAGGAGGCATTTCAAAGCCATTATGCATGACCCCTCGTGGTTTCTCATATCACAGTGAATAGCGAATGGATGCTGAGCGGAGCTGGTTCCCCTTGTGTGTCACAAGTGAGTCTGCAGAGTTTTCCATTCTAGTCACAACATGCATTGCTCTTCAGAACGCACAATATAATATTAATTTTCCACTGGGTGTCCAAATGAGAGGCGTTATGCAGGAGCAGCCTTATCATTTCTTTTAGGAATACATGCTGACTCCTTTGACACTAGAGTCCAGTTCTGTGTTTTATATGCACTGGACTGGAAATATACGAATACCAAAGCCTTTTTAAAAAAGAAGATACGTAATACAGATCATGTTTATCATTGATTTATCTCTCAGGTCTCTCCCAGTTAACCTATCTCTCATTTGGCCTTATTGAAAATGCTTATTATTTCCATTAAAATGATAAAAGTGTATTCAAATATCAAAGCACAACACAGAATTATCTATCTACTGTCATAAAAAATATGACTTGTTCCTCCTGCCAAAACATGGAAAGTAAGTGGGTTTTTGGCAAACCAGATATAATACTTTCGCTACATATCTTTCCAGAATAAATATCTATGACTTTTGTGGACTTCATTTCTGATTTCCAGGCTCTGCATAATTGCTACTGAGCTACTTTCATGAAATACAATACACAAGACGACGGAGCCTTCCCACCATAGAGGGTATTTTCATTTAGGCTTTTGTTCTTATGCATTTTTTTTCTTTTTGTTGATTAAGATGCCCCACTAAAATAAATCAAGGAATAGTTTCCTGATCAGCTGAAGTGTTGATTATTGATTGAAAGTGATAGATTTCAGCTGCACAATGCAAGCACTGTCAACTCACAGCAAAGGGTTTTGTGGTTTCAGTCAGTATACTTATGAAGTGGGACTATATGTAGGGAGACACTGAGAACCTGCTGGTGCCCAGAGTCAGAACCAAACAATGAGAAGCTTCATTTCAGTTTTATGCTCCTAAAATCTGGAGCAGTCTTCCTGAAAAAGCAAGACAGTTTTGATTTTTTTTGTTTTTTTACCTTGTCCTGTTCAGAATTATGGCAGCAGAACTGAAATCTGAGTACTGTGCTATGCTGAACAAAACTGCTTTGCCAAGGGAGGCTTTGTTAGTGAGAAGCTCCCCTTGATTACCCAAAGCTGCTTTATTTATTTATTTTTGTTACCAAACTTACATGTGTCCAATAATGCAGAACTTGACAGAGGGACAGGGAAGAAAGAAGAGCAGTGGGAAGGAGAGAGATCCTTTAGACAGAAAGAGAAAGGGGGGAAAAAAACAAAAAAACAAGACCATACAACCAGCTGCTATGTCTGTAAAAAGGACACTGTTCCTTGTGGGCAATCCGGGTTGAGAACCCATAGGAGCTCCTGCGAAAGGACACAGGGAAGACAAAAGAACAAACAAGCAACAACACTGGTAGCAGGGACATTAGTGAGCTTCTCAGAATTGTGCTGCAACTGTACAGAAGCTTAAGGAGGCGTGTGTCTGGGTATCTGACTGTGTGTGTGTGTGTGTGTGTGTGTGTGTGTGTGTGTGTGTGTGTGTAAAAGAATGAGAACCCACACCCCAGGTTTCCCAGATTGTGCTCAGATATGGTGCAGAGGGGCCACCAGCCGAAGCCCCCCCCCCTTCCAGCGCTCCGCAAAAGGGCAGAGAGTGCCCCTAGACCCGATCCCCCATCACACAACCGAGCACAGAACCTAGAAAGACAACCACAGAGGTGACCGGGCACCAGCCCAGAAGGCAACCAAGAAGTCTCCCCAGAAGAGCCACCACCACCGTGGGGCAGAGGCCCCCCAGGAACCATGAGCGACAGCAAACCAGCCCCCCCCTCAGGCCCCGTCCCCCAGACACAGGCCGAGAACTGGAACCCAGGCGAGACAGTTTTTAATACACTTTCGTTTTGCTTTGCCTCTTTCAAAAGATAGCTATTTCCCATGAAACACTATCTCACTTTACAACAAGGCAAAATGCACCATAACGGATGTCTAGGACTTAAGTTCAAGTGGTCAGGGTTAGGGTTTTCAGGCACCCGAACAAACAAGATGTCCATCCTGAGGCCCCAATTCGATAACCAAGATACTCCAAACTCTATCACATTAACCTGTCTCCTTTTCCTACCCTTATCATGAATAGGACCAGCAAAACTGGCCTGTCGCTTTTATGACCATCATCCTCACTAGACTCGTGATATATCCAGGACTTTACAAAAGAAAGTCGCTTAATTTTTGCTTCTTAACCCTTTCAAACAAATAAGAACAAAACTGAGCACAATGACACCAGAATAGCGGCCCACCGTGTGTCTAATTTCCTCTCCATTTTCCCCCCCTTTTTGCGGACGAACAATCCCCGCGTTTTGATTGGCTCGTTCTTCCAATAACTGTTAATCAGCGGCCTCCGTTTCAGGTGTACCAGTCCGCGCCCTCTGACAGGAAAGCGTCCCGCAGGAAGCGATGTCTTTTAATATCCAAATAGCCAAACGTTTATTGTTATTTGTGATAACCGCTCATTTTTACTCGTTTATGTTTTGCAGCTCAAAAAGTTTAACAAGTGGGCCTAATGTTTTGTCGAATTATCGAGTAGAGGAATCGGCGACGGCTATGTGGGACGACAGACAAGAGAAACACCGAACGCAGGGCCAGCAACCGGCGGCCGAGCATGTTACTGATGGCTCCTCTCCGCGAAAAGACACTCAGTTAGGCCCCCCACTTCGGCACGACCTTCCCGAAGATTTCCTCGCACTTATTAGTGACTTAAAGCTCGACGAGGTACACGCTACACTGAACGGTTCGTTTTGGACACCTGGTAATGTCAGCGTGGGACATGGGTCTCCGGCTCAGGACTCTGATGAGGGGTACCAGGCAGACTTTACAGGTAATGAAGTTCATACACCTTTATTTCTGTTTTGTTCACAGGTTTAGGGTAATATCTTTCTATATCACACAATTTGTTTTTATTTTTTACTATAAGACATGTATCATTGTCTTAAATTATTGTATTTAGATTTAAATGCAAAAAGCATAGTCCCTGAACCAGACTGGGTTGGTGGTCAGGTGCATTCCGGATAAACTAACCACAAGATGAATACATTTTTTTTTCCCTCCCCCTTTTTAGGTTATCTTGAAGTTCAGGGGGAGGTTTCTTACCCCAGGTCATATATATTTATGAAGCCTTTGGTGAAGTGCATTGAGAACGTCATGATCTTCACGGCTTCCGGTCAAGGACTGACACACCTGTTAGTAGACAGAGGTAAGGTCACCTGATGAGGAATTTTGGAGTGTAATTTAATGTTTGTGCAAATTACAGAAAGGCTTGTGTTTTATCTGTTTAGTCCTCTTTATTTCCAGTCATTTCGCTACTGATTTTATTTTTTAAGGTCTTCAATTATTTAAAGATGGTTCAAAGCTCTGTATGTCTAGAGATTGCTTGCTTTGTGGGTTTTTAAAAATGAGTTAATTCTCTAAATCCTCACAGTTTAGAATAATAAACTGAAGTTTTGTCTTGACAGGGAGAGCCTCTCCCATCTCCATTTTACAGTTGCCTGCATATTGTGGCTACATGGTAAAGGCAACATGGAACAACTTGGAGATAATGGCGCCTTATGATGGATGCTACATCACCCACGAGGTATCTGCAGATATAATATACAAGTATATAATATGTTGCCCCAACATGTCTTTTATTTATTTAAATTCTTTGTCAGAATGGCAGTTATGTGCTGCATATGGTGTGGATGGGCAGCCCGTTGAAGCTGTCTTGCCCCATGATGCCCACGGAATTTCTTTCGTTGTCACCACCCTCAACGGCAGTCTTCTGCTCCCCGTATGGCATGGCAGTACAGTTACATGGGCAGAAACGCAATCCACCACAGCTGAGAGTCCTCGGTATGTTTCACTGGTGTTCACAGTGTGGACTAAATGTCAAGCCATCTACATAAGTCACAGTGGGAATAGGCTCTGTTATATTTGACATGTTTCTTTTGTTCAAGTTTTGATTTCTATGTTAACACTCTTACAATTACATTTTAATTACATTTTAATTGATTTGTTCATTTCAAACTTATTGCAATGCCTTTCTTTTAAGCAGAAAAAAAACTTTTTCCAAATTATAAAAGATTATATACTTTCATGCTTCTAAAATAAATTGGGG